CGCCTTATTTTAGCAAGGATGAACAACAAACGCCCCAAAGAAAAGCCAGGGGATAAATATAGATAGCCTACATATCTGTTCAAAGACCATCATTAATCTTCAAATTGCTGGAAAGATGAGAGATAATACTTTTGTGATCCGTGTACTTTGAGATAAATCTTTGCTCTTTAAGGAAAAGAACACCCTGGATTGAATATGGCTATCTAAATATATTCCAATCTATTTATAACCTCTTTTAAAATCCGGGACTAAATCTTCCCAACAGGATAGTTTGATAAAACACTGTTATTTAAATAAATTCCTAAGTAAAATCCTTGATGAATTATGGGTGCTCAGACACCCAATGGTCCAAATGCCCAGTGTATGTATAAGTAACAACTCCCTTTAGATATGGCCATTGTTCCAATGACTCAGTGGGTTAGAGCACACAGCTGGCAATATCAGAGGGGTATACTATGTATCTAGCTAGATGTACTCAGGCTTTTCTGAAATTAGCTAGCTTCAGTTAGCTTCACATTCCAGCTCAGGCTTCATCCATGTTACAAAGGTAGATATTGATTGTGCACCCGCCGCTTACTCGACCGCTCGAGCCGGGCTTGTAACTGCGTGTTGCTGCCTCACTGCTTCCACTGAGCTAGGAAAGGGAGGTGGTCGGTGAGTTAGTGGGAGATGAGGTGGCCGCCACGCGTTAGACCCACTCAAGTTTGTTTGAGTCGGAGCACTGCTGAGCTGAGGTTTCCCGTGGTCACCCAAGGGGATGCACTCGCTCTGCAGTCGGCGGTTCTCTCAGACCTCGTGCATGACAAGGCATGAGCAACCGGGGCCTCACTGTGTGGCACCGGCAAGTCACTTTGGATGTTAAAATTCACTGCAGCCTGAGCCAAACTTCAGTTTTAATCCTCAGTTTTTGGGGATGGCTGTAGGGTTGAATAAAATCAGGGCTAAGTAGCCCGGTCGCTGAACGTTTAAAACACATTTTTTTTGTTGAAGATACTCTTTTTTTACGGCGCTTTCTCTCCTTTAAATATTTTATCACTCTCTCCCTCTCTGTACAGACAGGTGCAGGAGTCTTTGTTGGCCACCTAACTTTCTCATGCATATTTGAGGTATTCATTTTTAGATATACTTATGTTCTTACGCCTAAAAAGAGGCCTACTAGATTTTCTCACCAAAAAGCCCTCAAGTCGAATCTTCACTTCAATACCATTCAGGCCATATCATACAACACACCCTCATCCCTAAATGCATCCACACAAGCTTAGTGAGAAGTCATACTTCTGCAGAGGATGGTCTCACAGAACCATGTTTGTTTATAAGTCACAAAGTAGCAAGCCCTCAAAATCCCAGGTCATGTCAACAGAGTAAATCTGAACACCAAAAATGAATGTTTCCTTTTACTTACCAGAAAAATAGAAAGAAAGACATGATAGAGAGAGAAAGGTAGGAGGATAAAAGCCCTCTTCTGACTGGAGCAAGGAGCCCGACACACCATCAATAAAACAAACCCCAGCTTCTCCCTCACTTCTCACTGGCTTGTTAGCTTTTTCGCTCCATCCATCGCCCAAGGTTTAAACAAAAGCCTGGAATGAATGGCTGTCAAAAGCATTATAGCAGATCGATGGCGCAACCTTCACCGTGCCATACCCGCGAAGTATCACTGATCAGTAGTCTTTCAGTGCATGAGGCCAGGCTAGATAGAGGCTCAAAGACAGATCTAAGATATAAACCTCTAGATGGGATGGAGCTGTCAGGCTGTCACTGCTAACAGCCTCATACTTTATGGCCGGGCCCACAATTCAAACCGAGAGGCCAGTTCTAGAAAATGTTTAATTGCGTAAAGAAGGAAAGCAATTTGCTAATCTGTTGACTGGCCAAAATGTATGTGCGTTCAATGCTATTCTGTGGGTTTAGCGCTTAGCTAATGTTGATGGCTAACATTGGCAGGAGGGGTGAGGAAGGAATAGTTACGATATGAATATTTAGTGACTTTATTAAGTGATCTCCATTTTCAGAAAACTTGATCATTCCTGAGTCGGATAACATATGGTGTATGTCACCTACATGTCGACTTAGTGACGCTGGGCTGTGGGGCTGGACTCATAAGGGTCCTAGTTCAATATTTTTTTTATTTCACCTTTATTTAACCAGGTAAGCCAATGGAGAACAAGTTCTCATTTACAACTGCGACCTGGCCAAGATAAAGCAAAGCAGTGCGATAAAAACAACAACACAGAGTTACATATGGGGTAAAACAAAACATAAAGTCAAAAATACAACAGAAAATATATATACAGTGTGTGCAAATGTAGCATGTTATGGAGGTAAGGCAATAAATAGGCCATAGTGCAAAATAATTACAATTAGTATTAACACTGGAATGATAGATGTGCAAGAGATGATGTGCAAATGGAGATACTGGGGTGCAAATGAGCAAAATAAATAACAATATGGGGATGAGGTAGTTGGGTGGGCTAATTTCAGATGGGCTGTGTACAGGTGCAGTGATCGGTAAGGTGCTCTGACAACTGATGCTTAAAGTTAGTGAGGGAGATAAGAGTCTCCAGCTTCAGAGATTTTTGCAATTCGTTCCAGTCATTGGCAGCAGAGAACTGGAAGGAATGGCGGCCAAAGGAGGTGTTGGCTTTGGGGATGACCAGTGAGATATACCTGCTGGAGCGCATACTACGGGTGGGTGTTGCTATGGTGACCAATGAGCTAAGATAAGGCAGGGATTTGCCTAGCAGTGATTTATAGATGGCCTGGAGCCAGTAGGTTTGGCGACAAATATGTAGTGAGGACCAGCCAACAAGAGTGTACAGGTCTCAGTGGTGGGTAGTATATGGGGCTTTGGTGACAAAACGGATGGCACTGTGATAGACTACATCCAATTTGCGGAGTAGAGTGTTGGAGGCTATTTTGTAAATGATATCACCGAAGTCAAGGATCGGTAGGATAGTCAGTTTTACGAGGGCATGTTTGGCAGCATGAGTGAAGGAGGCTTTGTTGCAAAATAGGAAGCCAATTCTAGATTTAACTTTGGATTGGAGATGCTTAATGTGAGTCTGGAAGGAGATTTTACAGTCTAACCAGACACCTAGGTATTTGTAGTTGTCCACATACTCTAGGTCAGACCCGTCGAGAGTAGTGATTCTAGTCGGGTGGGCGGGTGCCAGCAGCGTTCGATTGAAGCGCATGCATTTAGTTTTACCAGTGTTTAAGAGCAGTTGGAGGCTACTGAAGGAGTGTTGTATGGCATTGAAGCTTGTTTGGAGGTTTGTTAACACAGTGTCCAATGAAGGGCCAGATGTATACAAAATGGTGTCGTCTGCGTAGAGGTGGATCTGAGAGTCACCAGCAGCAAGAGCGACATCATTGCTATTCACAGAGAAAAGAGTCGGCCCAAGAATTGAAACCTGTGGCACCCAAATAGAGACTGCCATAGGTCCAGACAACAGGCCCTCCGATTTGACACATTGAACTCTATCTGAGAAGTAGTTGGTGAACCAGGCGAGACAGTCATTTGAGAAACCAAGGCTATTTAGTCTGCCAATAAGAATGCAGTGGTTGACAGAGACGAAAGCCTTAGCCAGGTCGATGAAGACGGCTGCACAGTACTGTCTATTATCAATCGCGGTTATAATATCGTTTAGGACCTTGAGCGTGGCTGAGGTGCACCCATGACCAGCTCGGAAACCAGATTGCATAGCGGAGAAGGTACGGTGGGATTCGAAATGGTCGGTGATCTCTTTGTTAACTTGGCTTTCAAAAACTTTCGAAAGGCAGGGCAGGATGGATATAAGTCTGTAACAGTTTGGATCTAGAGTGTCACCCCCTTTGAAGAGGGGGATGACCGCGGCAGCTTTCCAATCTCTGGGGATCTCAGACGTTACAAAAGAGAGGTTGAACAGGCTAGTAATAGGGGTTGTGACAATTTCGGCGGCTAGTTTTAGAAAGAAAGGGTCCAGATTGTCTAGCCCAGATGATTTGTAGGGGTCCAGATTTTGCAGCTCTGTCAGAACATCAGCTGTCTGAATTTGTGTGAAGGAGAAGCGGGGGGGGGCATGGGCAAGTTGCAGCGCAGGGTGTAGAGCTGGTGGCCGGGGTAGTGGTAGCCAGGTGGAAAGCATGGCCAGCCATAGCAAAATGCTTGTTGAAATTCTCGATTATTGTAGATTTATCGGTGGTGATAGTGTTTCCTAGCCTCAGTGCAGTGGGCAGCTGGGAGGAGGTGCTCTTATTCTCCATGGACTTTACAGTGTCCCAAAACTTTTTGGAGTTAATGCTACAGGATACACATTTCTGTTTGAAAAAGCTAGCCTTTGCTTTCCTAACTGCTTGTGTATATTGGTTCCTAACTTCCCTGAAAAGTTGCATATCGCGGGGGCTATTCGATGCTAATGCAGTACGCCACAGGATGTTTTTGTGCTGGTCAAGGGCAGTCAAGTCTGAGGAGAACCAGGGGCTATATCTGTTCTTAGTCAATCAATTGTAGATAACGGAAACTGCACTGCAGGTTTAATCTCAGTGTTCACTCTGTTGAAGCATAAGAATATAATTTGCATAACCACCCATAGCTGACGTGAGTCAAACAGGGGCCTTTTAGACATCCTGGGGTGAGATTACTTATCCGTTTTGCCTGCAATAACGATATGCTATTGGCGAGGCAGTGTAGTTTGTGACCACAGGCAGTTCACAGCTCCAGTTCACGAATCGTCCTCACTTACTCATTTTCAATGAGTTCAACTGATAATTTACTCCAAAATAAAATAAAAATAAAAAGTTTGATGTTTTCAAACTTCAAAAAGGGTTTCTAGTTGAGACTAGCCCCCGTCCCACCCGATCTGTTGTGTAGCTCCATCCAGCTATCACTTGAACTCCTTTGAGTATGTGGTGGGTTGATTTGGGTGAGACTTGGCAACAACCTCTGATCCCTGTATCAGTATCAAGGCTGAAAGCACCTCACGAGTCAAGTCATCATGTAGGAAAGTCCAATACTTACCAGTGAAGACCAGAAGTCTGGGGGGTGGAGGAGGTGGGGGCGGGGGCGGCAGGGGAGGGTAGGGTCTACATTGGCACGCCAGCTGGCAGCTCTCACCCGCCCTCTCTGCCACGTTCCGCGCACATGAACTCTGAAGCTCTCCCTGGGTGAACTGCACAGCAGACGGAGAGAGAGTGGGAGAGGGAGAGAGAGGGAGAGAGAATTCAAGCCAATTGGTAATGCAACACCATTGTATAGCAGTGCTTATTGAACAAATCCCAACAAAATAGTAATTAGTAAGTATTACGTAATTACCATATCACCATTTCATTCGTAAGTAAAATGTAAGTAAATAGGGTATCTATTGTTCTGGCTAGTCTAGGACTGGATAGTGTGGGTGGATGGGAGCCGGAGGAAAGGGAGCGGAATCTCTTATGACGTTCAAGAATATGTATTTGGTACCCTGGTTGGTGCGTTGGTAAGAATTCCACAAAATGCATACTTAAAATGGATGCACTATAAAAGGCACATACAGTGCTTGGTGAAAGTCTACACACCCCTTGCACAGTTTTCTAATTTTTCTGCCTTAAAATTAAATCTAAAAAGGGATTATATATTTTTTTTCTCTATGTATCTACACAAACTGCTCCACATTTTCAAAGTGAAAGAAAAATGATATAAATTTGTCTTAATTAATAACAAATATAAAACGAAGATGTCTTGATTGCATATGTCTTCACACCCCAGAGTTAATACTTTGTGGAAGCGCCTTTGGCAGCAATTACAACTGTGAATCATTTTGAATAAGATTTTACCAAATCTGCACAACTCTTAGTAGGGAAACATATAATCATTGTTTTTGTCAAAATTGCTCAAGCTCAGTAAATTTGGTTGGGAATCATTGATGGACAGCAATATTCAAACTTTGTCTTTGATTGTCAAGCAGATTCAAGTCAGGACCGCGACTGAAGCGCTCAGGATTTCCTCTACATTTTTATGTGGGCTTTGCTCTTTTCTTATTTATTTTGATCCTTTATTTTGAAGCATACACACAACATTATGCTGCCAACACAATACTTGAAAATACAGCGGGTTTCACAACATTGCATTCACTCCACATTACTGGCCTGTATGACAAAGTGAAAAGAAGGAAGCCGGTGTTAAAGAATCCATTCCAAATCATTCATTATGTTTGCAACAAGGCCCTTAAGTAATACTGCAAGATAACATGGCAAATAAATATTTGTTTTGTCTTAAATTGAAAACTTCAGGTTTGGGTCAAATCCAAAACAACATATCATAGATGTGTATCTTCAAGTATTGTTGTGACAGCGTCATGTTATGGGTATGCTTGTCACCGGCAGGGACTGGGGAGTTTGTCCGAATCAAAGTAAATATGAAAGAAGCAAAGTCCAGGCAAAAAGTTAGAGGAAAACTTGCCTCAGTCTTCTGAACATCTAACCTAGTTTTATATTTCAGCCGAACAATTACATACATTTAATACATTGAGCCGAGCCGTGCCGAACTAAGCTATACTGTGCTTACCTGGTCGCATATCAGTGACGTGCAGTCAGGGTAGGCATTACTTACCCAGTGATAATCTAATATGAAAAGCTGTTATGAAAAAATATATATATAACAAATTGTCATTCTTTTTTGTAATCTACTGTTTTTTTCTCAACGATTTTTTTGCTCAAAATCTCATGCCAGCATAACCTTTCCATACATTCAAATCCATTCAATCGTTGACACGCGCGGCCATTCCTGACTCCAGTCACTGTTAATGGACAGGGTCAGCATATAGGCACCTTTAGGCGTTGCTGATTTTCAGCTTTGAACGGAACTTGAAGTTGCTTCATTTGTTACAGGCGAACAGTGAGTACTGCTGTCCACTTGTCTAAAACCAATTAATACTTTTTACCCAGACATTTAGACATCTTGGACATTTACAGTGCATTCGGAAAGTATTCAGACACCTTCACTTTTTCCACATTTTGTTACATTACAGCCTTATTCTTAAATTGATTAAATTCATTTTGTTCCTCGTCAATCTACACACAATACCCCATAATGACTAAACAAAAACAGGTTTTTGGACATTTTTGCAACTTTTGAAAAAATAAAAAACAGAAATACCTTATTTTCATAAGTATTCAGAACCTTTGCTATGAGACTCAAAATTGAGCTCAGGTGCATCTTGTGTCCATTGATCGTCCTTGAGATGTTTCTACAACTTGATTGGAGTCCACCTATGGTAAATTCAATTGATTGGACATGATTTGGAAAGGCACACACCTGTCTATATAAGGTCCCACAGTTGACAGTGCATGTCAGTGCCAAAAACCAAGCCATGTGGTCGAAGGAATTGTCCGTAGAGCTCCTAGACAGGATTGTGTCGAGGCACAGATCTGGGGAAGGGTACGAAAACATTTCTGCAGCATTGAAGGTCCCCAAGAACACAGCGGCCTCCATCATTCTTAAATGGAAGAAGTTTGGAACCACCAAGACTCTTCCTAGAGCTGGCCGCCCGGCCGAACTGAGCAATCGGGGGAGAAGGGCCTTGGTCAGGGAGGTGACCAAGAACCTGATGGTAACTCTGACAGAGCTCTAGAGTTCCTCTGTGGAGATGGGAGAACCTTCCAGAAGGACAACCATCTCTAGAGCACTCCACCAATCAGGCCATTATTGTAGAGTGGTCAGACGGAAGCCACTCCTCAGTAAAAGGCACATGACAGCTCGCTTGGAGTTTGCCAAAAGGCACCTAAAGGACTCTCAGACCATGAGAAACAAGATTCTCTGGTCTGATGAAACCAAGATTGAACTCTTTGGCCTGAATGCTAAGCGTCATGTCTGGAAGAAACCAGGCACCGCTCATCACCTGGCCAATACCATCCCTACGGTGAAGCATGGTGGTGGCAGCATCATGCTATGGGGATGTTTTTCAGCGGCAGGGACTGGGAGACTAGTCAGGATCAAGGGAAAGATGAACGGAGCAAATTACAGAGAGATCATTGATGAAAACCTGCTCCAGAGCGCTCAGGACCTCAGACTGGGGCCAAGGTACACCTTCCAACAGGACAACAACCCTAAGCACACAGCCAAGACAACGCAGGAGTGGCATAGGGACAAGTCTCTGAATGTCCTTGAGTGGTCCAGCCAGAGCCCGGACTTCAACCCGATCTCACATATCTGGAGAGACCTGAAAATAGCTGTGCAGCGACGCTCCCCATCCAACCTGACAAAACTTGAGTGGATCTGCAGAGAAGAATATGAGAAACTCCCCAAATACAGGTGTGTCAAGCTTGTAGCGTCATACCCAAGAAGACTCGAGGCTGTAATCGTTGCCAAAGGTGCTTCAACAAAGTACTGAGTAAAAAAAATAAAAAAAATAAAAAAATAAAAGTGTGCGCCTTTGGCCTGAATATATATGTAAATGTGATATTTCAGGGTTTTTTGGTTGTTTTTTTGCTAACATTTCTAGAAACCTGTTTTTGCTTTGTCATTATGGGGTATTGTGTGTAGATTGATGATGAAAAAAACAATGTAATCAATTTTAGAATAAGGCTGTAATGTAACAAAATGTGGAAAATGTGAAGGGGTCTGAATACTTTCCTAATGCACTGTACTTTCGCTTTGTGGACATAATGGGAATGGGGCTTCTCCTGCCACTCAATGCGAGCCTGGGTTTCTACAAGATGGATGCAACTAACTACAAGGATTTTAGCTGTGTTGCTGCATGGGGGCGCACTCACGCTGGAGGATTCTGGTCTCCGACCGCCTGGATGCCCTTATGGATGGTAGTGTTGCACGGTATCCCAAAACTTCTGTACTTTTTCAAATACTAGAACATGAAAAACGGTTTGGTACTAGAATTTATTTTACTTCCGGTACTTCTGTCAAATGTGTCACATGTCGTCTACTGATTAAGAGAAGATCAAATCTGTCTATCAGCGCAGCTTACTCATTGCTAGCTCTAGCCTGCCATGAGGAACCACTGAACTCACTTGGAGTCTGGGCTGGATCACCACTTATGTTATGCTGCACAGAAGTTAACACACTTGAATAATCATCAAGGTCATCTTTGCTCAAGCCTGGAATGGACTTTGTGTGTGAATGACCTCATGGGTCTTAAAGAGACGGCACACACTTTTATAAAAAAAAGTGATTGCTTCTTCTATGCAAATGTTGTTGATCAGAACAATAAAATAAGTCCCAAATGGAAGGTAAACATGTAGCCTCATGAAATCAGCCAAAACAAGCTCAATAACTCAATGCACTCAATAACTCAATACACTCCTATTCAATATTCATTCACCTGTATTGTGAATAGGTCTAGGCTACATCTTGATTTACCCAGTTTATCAATAGAGATTTACCGTACAAATAAATTATAACCATTATGTTGTTATGATTGTATGATTTTATAATTGATTCATTAATGCATACATAAATAAATCCTACATTTCAAATGTAATGATATTGAACTCAAAACATCTGTCTGGATCAAGTGCCATTCTGTGACTTTGGCTAATAAGCCTTCTTTTTTTGCCGTCATATCATTTTGGTATCATTTAGGTATCAAGTATCGTGATGGTATTGAGTATCGTGATACTAAACCTGGTATCGGTATCGAAGTCAAAATTCTGGTATCGTGTTTGCTGCGTGGGAGAACTGTGCTACCAGCTAATGTTTGTGTGTGTGTGACTTTTTATGTCAGTGTGAAAATGGAACCGAAGGAGACCTTGGGGATGACTCTCCCACACGACCGAGGGCCTTCTGTGTGCTTCTACATCGTTGTCACAGAGAGGTTCACCCTGAAGGACAGACGAATGGACTAAGGTAGGCTAAATGCATTTTCCTTAGCAATTTGTGTGTTAGACTACTGTTGAATGAACATTAGAATAGACAACATCCCTTTGATGCATTTGATTTATCAAGCTAGAATTTCGATTTGCTGAGAATTTATATATTTTTTATTTTAAACTGCATTTTTCAGTCATTTCGATTGTTGATATGGAAATTTCGTTATAAGCTTTTTCATTATATATGTGTGTGTAATAATATTTCACGTAATAATATTATTGTATGTTTGTGTGTGTGTGTGTGTGTGTATTTTTGCGCGGTGCAATGGAACATTTATAAATCCATTGTGAAAGGCTATGGAGTTTGCAATGCAAACTATTCGGATGAAATGTGTCCATATATTGGTATTTTAGTGCCACATATTGGTTGTAGCTGTGGATGCTACATCGGTCTATGGCTGAGCTGAGTTGAGCAGTGTGTCATTTTGTCGGATGATATAAAATATGCCACCATCGGTGGCTACATTGGTATTTGCATTTGGTGATTTTTTAAATTTATTTTTTATTAGCCAATGTCACTCTAGTTGTTGGAGCTATCTGTTGTATGTTGAACTTGGGCTTCATCAAGGTTTATTTGTAAGTAAATCTGGCTTTGATTATTGCCAGTGTCTATCCAGCCACCGACCACACCGCATGTCACTGTCGTACATCAACCAAAAATGTATGCACAGGCTTTGGATAAAAGCACCTGCTAAATAGCATACTGTATATTATTATATTATATTATAACCATAGTTGCTGGAACTACACCATTTGAAAATCGTAATGATAGTATGAAAAGGGTATAAGATACCAAAGGCTCCATCCAGTATCTGAGACAGACGGCACTATGTGAAAAGACCCTAAGTCAGACTCTGATGACGTTTCATTAGTATCCATAGGGCCCACTGTAGGAGATCCCATCCTCAGTGCCAGGCAGCCATGTGGCCAGCTTTCCACCACAGATGAGTCTCACACCTGAACCCCAAGGCCTCACACTCTCTGTTACACACTCATGCACACACATTCATCCACGCACACACACATCTGCACACAGATATGCCCGGCAAGCACCCAAATACTCAGTCCCTCACACACACACGCATGCATGCACAACATGCACTCCCTCACAGTTCACACACATGCACGCACGCAGGAACACATACACACACACTCTCGCTCTTCACACAATGGTCGAGAGAGGAGATTCCCACCCACTTACAAGAAGGGTAGGAGAGAAGAAAAAGGCTAAGGGCTCGTCTAGGAGAATTCCCACCCCCACTCCCTCCCTCCCCACCACCCAGAGGTGAACCCTGACACTGCCTCCCCCAGCGGTGAGCCTGGTGGGCAGCCCCGTGGATCGGGAGAGGAGAGCGGAGCGCTGGAGAGCTCAGGGGCTCTGGAGTAGCGAGCTAGTGCATGGTGGGTAGCAAAGCTCTTTGCCTGGGACACTTCAAACTGAAGCTCCCTCCTGCACCCACGCTGCCGAGTGAGCACCTAGCATTAGCCACGCGTCCCAGTTGAATGCGGCGTCTAAACGCATTAGCTCTCTCGCCACTGATCCAAATCAAAATACAATCGCCCGCACCCCTTCCCCCGCATTGTGCTAGTCATAATTGTGCATAGGAGCTAGGTATTCTACCAATGTGACCATTCTACCGGGTATAATAATAATATAATAATATAATATGCCATTTAGCAGACGCTTTTATCCAAAGCGACTTACAGTCATGCGTGCATACATTTTTTGTGTATGGGTGGTCCCGGGGATCAAACCCACTACCTTGGCGTTACAAGCGCCGTGCTCTACCAGCTGAGCTACAGAGGACCACAATCCTCTGTGTACAATCCAGGTTATCAAACCTGGATTGTCCACGTACATTATCCTTTGTTAGTATGCTAAGCTTATGCCTAAGCTTTAGCTCAGAGGCTAACAGGTCTCAAATAATGTTACCTATCACATAGTTCAGGAACACAGGAGGCTGCTGAGGGGAGGACAGCTCATAATAATAATATGCCATTTAGCAGACGCTTTTATCCAAAGCGACTTACAGTCATGCGTGCATAAAATTTTTTTGTGTATGGGTAGTCCCGGGGATCGAACCCACTACCTTGACGTTACAAGCGCCGTGCTCTACCAGCTGAGCTACAGAGGACCACATATGTCTGGAATGGAGCAAATGGCATGGCATCAAACACATGGAAACCATGTGTTTGATACCATCCTGCCTACTCCACTCCAGCCATTACCACGAGCTCATTCTCCCCAATTAAGGTGCCACCAACCTCCTGTGTTCAGGAACCACCTCTGTTACACATCCTACATAGCTTGATAACAGGGAACTTGTAGCAATGGTTATTGTCATAACGGTATAGTGTATGTGTGTCTGTGTGAGAGAGAGAGAGAGAGAGAGAGAGAGAGAGAGAGAGAGAGAGAGAGAGAGAGAGAGAGAGAGAGAGGAGAGAGAGAGAGAGAGAGAGAGAGAGAGAGAGAGAGAGAGGCAATTAAATAATAATTAACACATGGCTCAATGGCCAACTTGGTCAAATATACATAAGCATATTTTGTCTTGTCCAGCAACCCCTCTCTACAGTGCCTATCCCCTCTCTCGCCCACTCCCCCTCCCTCTCACAAGAACACCAAACACATGCACTAACTCAAGAATGCATGCACCCTCACTTACACATTCCCAATTTACTCAGTGAGACAGTGGAGTTACATCATCAATCAATTTACATTAATTACTTCCAGATTCTCAACTCCAAAGATTGGAGCCATGATAAGTGGCAGTCAACTTTAAGGCCACTATACTTTCACCACTGATGCAGTGTATCTTGTCAGTACAATGTACACACTCATTTCATAGTGCATGAACCCGATAACTTGGCAATTTACCATCATTATTCCCATTACACAAACCCCCTTCCCAACATCACATAGACAAAGCATTGTGGTATAAGAACTGGGCGTAAACGAGTATGGTGTGCTATAATAGAAAACGTAATAAACCCACCTGAAATAAAAGTAAAAACGATGTTAGAAAGCAGTGACCAAAAACAAAAGGCGAAAAACCTAAAATGAGCGGCAATATCTCTCGGACCAGCATTCCTCCGTCGCTCTCACAGCCCTCGTGTCAAGGAAACAAGCATGAGAGGCATAACACTATTTTCAAGAACTTAATCCAGTCTTCTCGACTCGACAACGAAATCTCTATCAGTCGTTTCCAAAAAGGGATTCTGCCACATTCTTGTCCTGTTTTCACAATTGTTGGTGGCATGAGAGAGCTTGAAACACCATCCGTCCTGCATTCACAAACCTAATTAATTTAATTAGGCCTACTAGAAAGTTGGAATGACTGCGCAAAGCTGCAGCGCTTTTTGGTTGGTATCCACAGCGGAAAAGTCCAAAGTTCTCCGATATATATCAGCGGGCCATGATGTTTTAGGTGGGAGTCGCAGTTTTGGAGTCATCCCTCTCCTTGCATTTAACTCGAATGACGGCCAGGGATGAGCCACGAAAGTTCGAAATGCTGGAAATAAACGCACGCCGCTTATCCCTATAATTTATAATTCCGTGTACATGTCTACTGAATGAGCTACGCGGCTCTTACTTGGTAATATGTCTTGGTATATTGAGGCAAAAATTGCGGAGGCATCTTCAGAAGCCAGAGAGTGAACATTGCCTGTACACATAAGCTACACTTGGGTAAAAGCGCATTAGGAGAAATACGTGCAACATTGGTCCCGCGCGTTAAATGCGGTGCTGAAAAAAGCAAAAATTCTGCCTAAAACGACTCTAATGCACTATCATCAAATCAATCCACATTCACTCTCAGCAAAGTGCGACTGAACATGCTAAAAATAACTGTGTAGAGAAGAGCGACGGTGCGCGCGTATCAATATGAACTCCGCCTGTAATGATGGGAATCTGCAATTGCTTGGGTAAGTTACAGCGTAATTTAAGTCAGCAAACACACACACACACATTCAGCGATTTGAGCGAGACAGACAGAGATGTTAAATGAAGAAGATACTGTAAGACCGCGTTGGGGGGAGTGAGAGAGATCTGTGTGTGTGTGTGTGTGTGTGTGAGAGAGAGAGAGAGAGAGAGGGAGAGAGGGAGGGAGATTTGTCATGTCTCTCTATAGGGTTATCTTGGTTTCCTGCAGATAGTGTGAGAGGTGCATGCTCCTTACATTTGCTCTTGTTTTGAATATTTATTTTGATGCATATAGTGTGTCAATATAATGTCCATTTATATTTGGTGCATCCTAGAAGCAGGCACAATTCATTTGAATAATAACTCTGGATTCAATTAATTATGAAACCCCTGTGTGCATTACCATGTCTTGTATAGTTCTGTAAATACATAACTTGATAAGGGCACCTCAGCACTCTTCCATTACTAACAAGGCATGCTGACGCTCAACTGAGGTTTATTTATTTGTATTGTTAATGCCTGGTAATGTAAGTGTAGTGGAATTGCTAAGAAGGGGAGAGGAAAATGCACCACCCCAAAGTTCATGCAAGGCAGTACTGTAACTACTAGCTAGCACTAGGCCAATCAGTTGAGTTTCCTATGCTTTTGTAACAAGGTTGGTTATGTTTCCACTTATCATTGCAGAAATATTTATTCAATATTTATGTATTTCTATTGGTTGGTTCAAGTCAGACCTCAATAAGGTGTTATGCCATTGGCAACGCTTGCAGATAGGGGGCGAACACGAACTTCAATTCTTCCCAGTCTAATAATGACATGGTCATGTTCTGAAATAGTGCATTCTATTTACGTATTTACAATGTGTATGAGTTCACTATGTACATTTCCTGATAGATAGATAGATAGATAGATAGATAGATAGATAGATAGATAGATAGATAGATAGATAGATAGATAGATAGATAGATAGATAGATAGATAGATAGATAGATAGATAGATAGATAGATAGATAGATAGATATTGGGGGCTTCCTGGGATGTGCTTTTGTATGTTATTGCTGTAAGAGTGAGTTAGCTAGCATGCTCTAATTGTAATGGTCGCATTAGCTCCATGCTAAATCACAGCTATTTCCATGCTAACAGAGGAATCTACAGCCATCAACATACTGTTGTCCGGCACATCTAATGTGCTTTCTTGTGTCTATTGTCAGGTACTTACATTTATTTTATTTTATACTATTTTTGTCATTGTTTTGATGTTTGATTACAAAATAACCAGTCTGATATTGACATGCAAGCGATGAATCACGAATCTACAGCCATCAACATACTGTTGTCCAGTACATTTAATGTGCTTCCTTCTATTGTCAGAATAAACACCAATCAACTGGGATCGCAGGCTGGGCAGTCCTTTATTTAAAAACACAAAGAAAGACAGTTACGAAGTACGATCACATCTGTTACACTGGTCCGAGACCCGTGTTCTTGTCTTTGTAGGATATCTGTTACACTTTGATATGTTTAAAACCCTACAATAAAACACAGATAAACTATATTTTGTTTTTACACAGTCAAACTGTGTGATCGTCAGTCACATCACAAATTGTCTGGCGTTATGGTGTGGTTACTACGTGATATGGCCCTACAACTCACATTACCCACACTTCACTTATTGGCTTACTCCACTTGTATGAACATCTAACTTATAAAAAACAAGTGAGTCCAGGACAAGGTGTAGTCCACGAGTACCCTTGATGAGACTCTCACACTTAGAGAAGTTCATCGTTCATATTGATATTGGTAATAACAAACAATTCTGATAATATTCAAAATTTGTTACATCAATGTATACTTTCAGAATGAGTGGCCCAGCATTTAAATTGAAAGTGTCCATACTATATTTTGTAGTGTTGTTAGTCTATAGGGCTCCTAGTGTTTGATTAGTGTAGTATATATCAAGGCTCAGGATAAGACCCAGATGCAGACAGTTCGAAATAGCAAAACGTTTATTTACAAAAACAGGGGGCAGGCAAACGACAGGTCAAGGGCAGGCAGAGGTCAGTAATCCAGAGCAGAGTCCGAAAGGTACAGAAACGGCAGGCAGGCTCAGGGTCGAGGCAGGCAGAGGTCGGTAATACAGAACAGTGTCACAAGGTAAAGAACGGCAGGCAGGCTCAGGGTCAGGGCAGGCAGAATGGTCAAAAACGGGAAAAACGGGAAAACAGGGACTAGAGCTAAATGTCACCAAAATCAAGGTTTCATAATTATTGGCACTCCTCATTTAGTACATAGTGCAACCACCTCTGGCAAGGATAACAGCATGGAGTCATTTCCAAGAAAAACAGACAGATTAAATATGGCTCCCAATCAGAGACAACCAGCCGACAGCTGACACTCGTTGCCTCTGATTGGGAGTCACACCGGCAAACATAGAAAATAGACAACCTAGAACACCCACCAAAGAAACAGAAAACATAGAATGAACACACCCTGGCTCAACATAATGAGTCCCCGAGCCAGGGTGTGACAGTACCCCCCCCTAAAGGCGTGGACTGCGACCGCGCCTAAATACGAGCAAAAACAGGGGAGGGCTGGGTGGGCATTCCTCCTCGGCGGCGGCTCCGGCTCCGGGCTTGATCCCCACTTCCTCTCCAACCCCCCAAAGTACCCCTGGTCCTGTCTAGCCCCGCTGGCCGGAGCCGGACTGACGACACGCGCCCCTGGCTTGGTGCGTGGAACAGGAACGGACCGGACCAGGCTGACGATACACACCCCTGGCTTGGTGCGTGGAGCAGGAATGGACCGGAATGGGCTGGCGACGCGCACCACAGACTTGGTGCGGAGAGCAGGAACGAGCCGGACAGGGCTGACGAAACGCACCACAGACTTGGTGCGGGGAGCAGGAACAGGCCGGGCCGGGCTGGCGACGCGCACCACAGGTTTGGTGCGGGGAGCAGGAACAGGCCGGGCCGGGCTGGCGACGCGCACCACAGACTTGGTGCAGAGAGCAGGAACGGGCCGGACCGGGCTGGCGACGCGCACCACAGGTTTGGTGCGGGGAGCAGGAACAGGCCGGGCCGGGCTGGCGACGCGCTCCATAGGCTCGGTGCGGGAAGCAGGAACAGGCCGGGCCGGGCTGACGACACGCACCACAGGCTCGATGCGAGGAACAGGAACAGGCCGGACCGTACTGGGGACACACACCACTGGCCCTACGCAGGGATCAGGAACGGGCCGGACCGGACTGGTAACACACCCCAGTACCTCTCGCCGTGCCTCCACACTTTCCCTCTCCTCTGTGACCAGTGGCCCCCTTAACCTGGCGGCCTCCTCTTCACACCCGCTGGACCGCTCCCTCGCGGCCTCCTGCTGCCCCGTCGTCCACGTCGTGAGCCCCCCCCTAAACATTTTCTGGGGGTCTCTCCTCCCCGTGGGCCAGGCCTCCATCGTTCTCGCTGCTTGGTCCAGTAGAGGTGGGTTTTTCTGTCACGATCGTCTAATGAGGGAGACCAAGGCGCAGCGTTGCGAGTGAACATATTATATTTATTAAATGCTCACACGAACAAAACAATAAACAACGAATGCGTGACGTCTATGGTACAACACGAACACACACGAACAAAATCCCACAACCCGAAAGAAAAACAGACAGATTAAATATGGCTCCCAATCAGAGACAACCAGCCGACAGCTGACACTCGTTGCCTCTGATTGGGAGTCACACCGGCAAACATAGAAAATAGACAACCTAGAACACCCACCAAAGAAACAGAAAACATAGAATGAACACACCCTGGCTCAACATAATGAGTCCCCGAGCCAGGGTGTGACACACTGCCCCTGGACCTCTGGAATTAAAACAGCCCCAAAACATCACTGACCCACCACCATATTTCACTGTGGGTATGAGGTGCCTCTCCTTGTATGCATCTCTGTTTCAACGTCAAACATGCCGATGCTATATCTGACCAAAACGTTCAATTTTGGTCTCATCTGAACAGACCACCTTCTTCCAGTCATAATTTAAATGACGTTTGGCAAACTCCAAGCGCTTGCATCTGTGTTTTGGGGTCAGAAAGGGTTTTCTTCTGGCAACCCTTCCAAAGAGCCTGTGATTGTGGAGGTGACGTCTGATGGTGCTTTTTGAAACCTGTTGACCCCAAGACG